TATATATATATATATATATATATATATATTCGTGTGTGTGTCTGTGTTTACTGTAACTGTAAACTCCTCGATCAGGCTGAGTGAAAAGGCTTTTAGCCAAATAACCTTTATTTTGAAATCTAGACTGAAACCAGACATGCGTGGAGAAGAAATCTCCACCTATAAATAATTGATGACGTGGAACCCCTTTAAAGACAAACCTTTATCTCCCAGCTCTATAAAATAAAAAAATATATATTCTTTTCTGTGCTTATTATAAAATGGAAGCTTCGGCATTGAAATGAAATCCTGTAATTTATTTATTTATTTTGATGGTTTTGGATGAATGTCTCATTTTAAAGTGTTTTTAATTTATGGCCACTGAAATGCTCGGTTCCGGCTAAAACAGCTCTGGGGCATGATTAGAGAAGCTCCGGTCACACTGACATGTGGCCGATACCAAAATAATGATTTTGATGCAGACCCAAGTTCCCGCCTTTTCCCCAGAGCATTCTCACTTCTTTCACGCATTTATTAAGCTACTGATGGGAACATGAAAATCTATTTTAATTTCTTAAAGACCCGACATTCCGCCTCTATGTTTAGTATTTATTTTATTAGCCATTTATTCTTTTTTTTTATCTGTATAAGTCCAGATAGATGTTGAAACTTGAGGCTCAGATAAAATTATCTGCTTCCTTATGGAGCTAGGCTTATTTTTGAGTGTTTTGGTGATTTTTAAAATATCCTACCAGGCATTTCTTTAATATCTTCATAAAATTAAAAGTAAAGATGGTAAGAATAAAAAACTCTTCTCATTATTCATCAGACTTTAAATTAGCTGCTCCACTATTAACTGGTGTGTAAACTGTTAATACTGGAGCAGCTAAGGTTTTTATCTGTGTAAAGATGCGATTGTTGAAATATATTTCACAAATTTTGTGAAATATTTCTAAGTGAAGGGTTGTGATCTAAGCATATCTGAAAAGGTAAAATCAAACCACCCAACTCATCAAAATGGGAAAAATGTAGCTTTGATTTTCTATTTATTATTATTAGAAATTTCATTGTCTGGGTTTGAAAGCTCAATCCATTCTACCCG